AATGATGAATCACCAAAAGCCGGTGCATCATACATAAGTCTAATTGGAAACCTCATATACTTGATAGCTAAATGGCTAGACATAATTGGAAACCGACTCAAGATTAATTGGCTACACCGATAGTGATTGAGAAGGCTCGGTAGATAACATGAAGAGCACATATGGCTATGCTTTCTCACTCAGATCATGATTTTTCTCATGGGCATCGAAGAAGCACACTACGGTTTTACAATCAATAGTAAAAGCATAGTACGTGGCAGCTGCTAAAGCAATGAGACAGGCTATATGGTTCTGCAGGATACCTGAAGATATTTGAGAAAAACAAGATGAGCCTACTACAGTCAAGTGAGACAACAAATCAGCAATTGCAATGGCGAAGAATTCGGTGCATCACGGTTGAACAAAATACATAGAAATCAAGTATCACTTTACTAGAGAATCTGAAGCAACTAAAGAGATCAAACTCGACTACTGCAAGACATAGATCAACTTGTAGACATATTCACGAAGGCATTGTGGAGACCAAGTTTTCTAGAATTTTCTTAGATATAATGTGTAATGAAATATTAGAAGAACCTAGAACTATTATGATACTAATATATCATGAAACATCTAGAAAGAACTAAAATAATACAGAAACGTTCACCACCATTGAGAGTTTGGTGACTTGATCCTATAAATAGGCAATTGGTACTTTCTAATTTATCATCTAAAAAACCAATGGCATTTCCTCTTGTAAGGTTTTAAACTACATTCCCTATTCCAATATAATCATGTCCACAAGGCTCTTATAGCCTTCTTTTTAAACAATTTTCTAAAATTATCTTATATCAACTATCAACTATTCAAATACCAACAATTTTGTCCCTACCACACAAGGTCTCTAGGTCCATCACTAAAATAAATAGAGCAATACCCTAGTACAAACACACAGAGACAATGATGCTTGTGATACGGTGGCAGAACCGAGTGTTTAATACTGGTTTGCGTTTTGCGTTTTGTGTTTGCAAAATGTCGCGGTAAGCAAGAGTCGCCACCGACTTTTATTTCATCCAATAATGGAAAAGGAAAAAGAACAGAAAACACCTTTTTTCGAGATATTCTGAGTACGGGGGGTAAATTATAGAAAAGGAAGGTGTTAGCACCCTTTCTATCCATGGTTTTCCATGGGCTCTTAGGTACTTGCTCATTTTGAAAATTGCTTGTGTGTGTTTGTCTTGAAAATGTTTATTGAGCAAGTACTTAAGATTCTACCTACTCGAAAAAAAGGATTGTTCGTTCTATTTCCTTTAGACAATGCTATCCTACTATTAAGGAGTAGGTAGCACTGTCGTTGGAGTTGTAAGGGACATTAGAAAGGGACAAGTATAATCACTAAAGCAATAGTTAGAAAATTTTAGTAGTAACTCTAGAGTCTTAAGATCTTTCCGAGACAACATTTCCGAGGCAACATTCGAATGAGACAATTTGATCTCTTTAGACTGGAGGGCAACCACTAAAATCTCCTATGCTTAATGATTGTTTACCGAAGGCAACCAAAGTGAGGTAAACCCTAGGAGTGAAATATGTGCATATGATTTGTTTCGGTTATTTGATCTTTGCACATTAGATGATCTACCGTTTTAATTTCAGATATTATTTCCATACAATCCTATTAACATACATCTAGACAGTTAAATATTTGCAGGAATTAAAAATGCGAGAAATTAAACCTAGCTATTACAAGGCTTTGGAGAAGGGGATTAATTACATAACCAAAAGTGGGGGAAAAGCGATAAATAAAAACCTTAATTTAAAGCTATTACAAACCCTTAGCAGTTACAAAAATAATGGCAAAATAATTAACAAGCGTGCGGCGAATTAAATACGAGGACGGTTGAAAAAATAACCTAAAACTCTAAGTGAGGAAAAGTATTTTTTTTGTAGATTTTTATTTGAGAAAATAATTAAATTATAAATTAATTAAACCTAATTTCTATTTGTTGGGACCTAGGATCGAACCCAGGTCCTTCCACTCAATACCAAGCGCTTTTACCCCTGAGCCATCTGCGTTGTTTGTTATTAACTCAAGAATAAAATAATATATAAAAAATGTGATTAACTAATCAAAAGTGCGCGAGATTTAAACGGGCGAATGGTTGGCTGACACGTAGTCGTCTTCTTCCTTTCTTCGTCGTTTTAGGCTATGGCACTTTTACCTACAGACAAAGGTATGTAGCTACAAACCTGTGAAACTCAAAAATTCACAATACGCAAGATAAATGGCATCTAATTATATAGATCAACTCGTTTTGATCTTGTGAACATCATGGTACCCCTTTTGCTGGCCAATTTAACCTGTGGACAAAACCCCTAATCTGCACATACAAACCCTAACAATGGCAAAAGCATGTATAGGCTTCAAAAATGCAATTAAAGTATTTAATTAGCTTGCAAACACGATTATGAACAAGAATATATGAATAAAATGGATTTATAATGCGTAAAACATAGAAATCGAATTTGAGTTTGGGATGTAAACCATGATACTTCTATGTGAGGATTCTTGATGTTTTGAAGCCTACAAATGGTTGGGAATGCTTCCTGAGATGCCAAGGAATTGATTTCTGGATTTGAATCGTCTTGAATAGCCCTCTATCCCAGAATTTGAACCTCACTTTTTGTCAAAAAATTTGAGTTTGTTCATGCCTTTTCACGACTGTAACCCTTGTGTTTATGATTTGGAATTGTTGTATACATATAGTAGAGCATATTAGGTCAATAAAATTACATCATATCTTTGAGAATTATGAAAAAATGATTTGATTTGCTCTTTGTATGATATCTTTCCAAAATAAGCTTCAATCCAATATTTTCTAATCCAAATGAACCTTGCACGAATTGGTCATCATGCTAGCTGTACATAGACTCCAAATGTGCACAAAAATCCCAAGATTTGATTTGCTTTTATTATTTTACCATTTAATTTGATTTATTTTGATTTAAATGAATAAAAAATAAAAATAAATGATAAAAATAATAAAATAATAGGTGGAAAAGCTCAGGGGTCGTGGGTCCTATTAGAAACATGTTTCAAACAAGAAAGCATGGGCCCCTTTGGAAAAATGCAAATTTGATCAATGTTGACTTTTGACAATTTTCCAAAAATTGCCAACTTTGACAATGCACAACTCTCTCAATATTGACCCTAGGAGGGTATTCTTGGACTTTTTAGAAAGCTTAGGATGTCCCCTAAACAACCATTTTGGTTTCATCTCAATTGGATCTTCCATGTTCATGTATGAAGCTTTGACCCAAAAGGTGTTTTTGTTGACTTTTCAAAAGGACCTATAATGTAAAAATTCATATCTTTTGATGAGTGCATATTTTGAACTTGTAGGCTGAAGATGAATTGTAGGGAATTGCATCCTCTTCAAAATCAGCCTTGGATGGAAATTTTTTGATAAAGTATAAAGAAGTTATGCTTGGTTAAAGTTGGGTTGACTTTTCCTGCAAAACCCTAATTTAGCAACTTTTGAGTTTTGATGAATTTGGAGCATTCCTTGGGGAATCATGGTCAATCCTTGATCAAATGATGAAAGTCACTTCAAAATGGGGATGTTGACCAAAAATCTTGAAGTTTGACCGTATGCGGGTCACAGTTGACTTTTGACCTAATATAGTCGATTCTCAAGCATCTGAGCAGTTGACTGAGCAAACTTCTTGTGCAAGGCTTGAAATTTGACATGGAGAATATTGGGAACATATTAGGACCTTGGAAAGAATTTGGGGCCTTTGTGATTCACACATCTTGATGAAAGTGGAAACCCTAATTTGAGACACACTGCCTTAGGAGAGAGTTTGTCTGGTTAACTCTTTGGCAAACTTGAGCAAATTGAGGACCTTTAAGAGTATGTATTGAATAAAATGAGAGGATAAATTTTGGGGTACAACAATGTCCATTGTATTTTACAAGATGAAACAACATTTTAACACGATTGAGACAATGAAATGATGAAATGTCGATTATCCAAGATCAAAGCCATCACCAAGGCTCCGATGGAGATAAATGTAGGAGACCTCCCTTTTTATGTGTGGACTTAACCAAAAACCCTAGGGTGTCCACTAACTACTTGGTCATTGCACACTCCAAGGTTCACCATAACAATAATCACAAAAAAACAACAAATAATAATATTGGCATTTTCTTTTGTGGAAATAATTATGATTTAAAAAAACTAAAATAAAAACAACCTAAAGTATGTATTCAGTTCTCCATGCTGCCCCTCTCCCCTATATATTATATACTTTCCCGGTCTCTCCACTGTTACCAAATACCTTCTATGTTTTAAACTCCAAATTGGTTCTCTCTCTTCCCTCATCATCATTCTTTCTTTTTCTTCTTCCATCAACTTCATTCTCCTATTCTTTTCCCCTAATTGTTAGATCTCATCTGTTAACAGATATTGCTATCTTGATTTTGATTCAAAGAATAGCATAAGGTTCACTTTTCTTGATCTGAAGAGTTTTTTACAACAAAAAAAATACTAAGGGTTTAGTTTTTGCTTTAATTTAGTTTTCTTTTCGAGTAAAGAGCTTCACCTGCATAGTTTCTCTCCTTGTTCCCTCTTTTTTAGTTTCTCTTTAGACAAGAAATTGTCCTCTTTTCTCTATCTGTATGTTGTTGAGTCTTTTTATCTACAAAAATACTTTTCTTTTATCTTTTATCTTTTTTCTGTCATGATATGATATGTACTTTTGGATGGGATTGGCAGGAAGAAGGCCATAGTTGCATGGACAGATAAACAGTCGTCATTTGCGGGTGTAGCATCATCAAGATTCACATGAAAGTGCAAGTGGGCTGGTTGGTTGTTGGTTGGATTCTGATCTGATCAATGTAAATCTAACAACTCCATATGTCTGTTTTTAACTGAGAATCTTGATGATGCTGCATCAGCCATAAACGGCTTTAAAAAATAGTTTGGATTAAATCATAAAAAATACTCTCAAAGATCTGACCAATGTTTAAGCAGGTGCTCACCCTCACACACCCTTTCAAGTTCAACAACTTTGCTTTTTGTGCTTCTGTCAGGTGGGTTTTCATTTTTTTAATTATTGGTATCATGGGCTTGCAGTACTTCCTTATATTATTATTATTATCATTGTTAATATCAATATTCTTATTATATTTTAATATGTGTATTAATTAGGTTTTACAAGTTTTGCAGAAAAACCTAGGGTATGAAAAAATAGGGAGGTGAGGAGGGGCAATTAGGGTTTTTTTGATGAATCTATTTATGTATATTTGTTTTCAACAGAAATGCTTGGAATGGAAATGGTGTCTTTTCAGATTCTAAATATAGATAACGATGACAATGATATGTGATACTTTATCCAAATCTGGAGAAGAAACTAAAATGAGTATTTGATTTATTAGTATAGTACGGTTGATATATGCTGCTATAATTATGGTAACTTTTTCTTATAAAAATTCATGTATTTGTAATTTAAAACTATGTGTAAGAACATAGAGGATCCTGAACTTGGAACTTATACTTAAAAGTTTGAAGTAGCGACGTCAAACACAGTGTTTGAAGTTTTGTGTGATTTTAAAGCATCTACATCTTCACTATCTTAATTGTCTTTTTTTGTTGTCTATACAGAGAAAGTTAAAGTTAAAAGATTTATTGATTGTTGTCATCTTCAGATTCTGATTTTCAAATAGCTAAATACTATTCTTTTCCTGTGAGATTTTGTGTTTCCCTTCACACAAGCCACAAAGTTTATTCTCCTTACTTCATGAACATATGCTAATTAATGGTATTATTGGCAAGCAAATGACTGGATATTTGATGTTGTAGCATAGTTGTAAATGTTGTGGCAAATATATAAAAATGTGGTCTAAATTGGGGTTTTGAAACTGTATTTGTTATTGTATAACACAACTTTAAACTGTATTTGTTGCCTTTAGTCTCTTTAATCTTTCATGTATCAGGTCAAAATACATCAAAGGAGAGGGTTGTGTTAGGCATTTAACAATCAATGTAAAAATTTTTCGAATCTCTATGACATTGATCAATTAGGAAATAATTATGACAAAAATCGATCCATGGAGTCGACTCTATCTAGTGGGATAAAACTTAGTTGTTGTTGTATCTGGTCTTAATATATAAATACTTGAATAGTTCTATTATAATATATCTTGCTTTGGTTTGCATCACCAATGTATATAATAGATTATTGAAATTTGAAGCTGGCTAGGGAACATGGATATACCAAAACAATGGACATTGTTTTAAGTAGTTTCCATGATGATGAAGGTTTTGGCTCTATTAATAATACTGAAAACATCCCTGGTTGGTGGACCAACAGTTCTCTTTCAAGTTGGACCCTTGTAGGCACACACTATCTCTATGGCAGAGATTTTCCAGTCCTTCTATTTGTTACTTCTCTTGTAGTCAATTACTAATTAATGCTAAAAGTTTTTTCTTCATAAATGCAATTGTCAGTAAGATGGTGAAGTCTCCAACCAAATATTTACGGATTCACACTTTGCATTTCCAATCTTTGATTCAAGGTAAGATGAAAAATATTTTAAACTAATTCTTCGCAAATACACCGCAGTGGTTGCCTCATACTTCTAGCAACATGAGAGCAGAGCCATCTCCGACGGTGTGCAAGATGAGCTACAACACAAGATTTCAAAATTTTCAGAACTTCTGAAAATTTAAGACGACTTAGCTCTATGAGATCATGGTTGTCCTTTTACCAAGAAACCTACTTCAATGGACTATTAAAACTCAAAGTTAAGCAGTAGATTTTTTATTTTATTTATCAAAAAATTAGACTTACATTTTCTTCATGATTGATGATAGTGATGATTCAATATGTTCAAAAGATTGAAGATCCAATCACATGGAAATATGTGTGCCCCCATCACTGTCCTAATGCTACATCATTGAGAGGGTTGTGTACAATCTCTGCTCAAAATTAAACTCCTTTTCCCTCCCCACAGCCCCCCACCCCCCGACCCAGAAATAAAATTGCCCTATTTTTCCGTACATTGTAACAAGACTCATCATGTATATTGCATGCATTAGGCCCACTCATATTCAATTGCTTTATTTTCTGTATGGACTTTCAATATTCACTATATTAGTGTAGATATATCATATATATATATATATATATAAAGAAAAGATTGATGGTGAATGTACTATATTGGTTAGAGAAAATATATAGCATTCAATCTCCTTAATATGGATCTGGTCCAACCATCAACCTTTATGTCAACCATTAACTCCATGTCCATGGATTTATTCTATATAATAACCTACTATTTTTGGTAAGTTATCTCATAATTTTTTCTTGTATTTTTGGCAAAACCCTCTACTGTATAGTAGTATAAAAGTAACATGTTTGTGATGTATAAACATTTCTATTCGTAGTTAGAAAAGACGTCGATAAGCAGATGTTTGAGCTAAATGTACGACTGCGACAAAACAGTATCGGAAGGTATCAATACTTTTATTTTTTTATTTTTGACAAATGTCAATACTTTTATTTTAGAAGCGAAGAATGAATATGTTGGTATTTTTTGCTTCAAGTATCACTTGTACTCTTTTTATTGATATAAATCTTTTTTATCCCTTAAAAAAGTTAGAACTATATGCTGTGCTTTTAGTGATTTGAAAACTGAAAAGAGTATTTCACGTGGCAAACCCTAAGTACATAGTAAGATGAATGGTGTATAAGCAAATCCCCTGATTAGTGTATTGTTTAGATTTGTTATGGGAAAAGTAACTGTATGGGGGAGTTATCCAGGTACTGCTGTGTGAGGTGATAGTAGAATCCATATGAAATATGCATGTACAAAACAGCTTTAGTTTTGTGATTTTTATGATTGTTCATCCATCCTACTAGAAGTGTATACTAGAAGTGTATTGGTATAGAAATAAGAGTAAGGATATAGTTTTAGTATATAAATATGTAATTAATGTCATTAATTTTAGAAATGTGTGCATTAATTACATATTTATATATTAAAAGTATATTATTTGATACTTTCATTTCTTTTGAGAAATTGAGAGAATTCTTACTCTAAAAGTAGATGAAAGGGAGTTATGGTTTTTTTATAATCTAACTAAAAGATATTTGAAAAGTTAGTACTTTAAAACTCAAATAAGTATTTAAATGAAATGAAAGTATGCAAGTGTGTATAAAAAGAATAAAGTAAGTTATTTTTTATGCAAGTGTGTATAAAAATAATACACATTATATAGATGAGTCTATTAAAATTGTTCTTAGTCGGTCTGGTCTGGAGTAAAAACGATTGATGAATGTAAATCAACAGTCGAGATGAAGATGGAGATCGTACTCCTATGTCGTACGCATGAATAAATATCTATATGTATGTCAGTTAATAAAACGTTCTTGATGTTGGGTGCAAGTGTGAGTGGTTATAGTCTCACATTGTCTATGACTGGTGGAATATTGGATTTATAAGAGAGATGACTCATTTATCTAACACCTTAGGGTTTTGGGTTGAGATGTGGCGTCTCTCTCTCTCTCTCTCTTGTGGTTCTGGAGCATTGGTCTCATTGATGCTCCTGATTCTTCCGGACTCCCCAACTATGATATTAGAGTTGTGGTTCACCTTAGGGTTTTAGGTTGAGATGTAGCGTCCCCCTCTCTTGTGGTTCTGGAGCATTAGTCTCATTGATGCTCCCGACTCTTCCAGACTTCCCAGCACTTGGGTCTATAAATTGAATAGATTTTATTAGATTTTTAATCAGTCCAAAATAACCGTAGTAATAAGAGTAAAGTACAACTCTTATTACTACGGTTGTTTTGGACTGGTTAAAAATTACGGCCAGCAATCATGATTGCACCCATAATATTGTGGATATGGTTGTCTCTGCAACCGCATCGAATCGCAATTGCGGTGTGATTTTGAAATTACATCTTCAGTTGTATTAGGAATCATATCAGACCATTTCAATCATGTTTTTCAAGTATTTTTATCAAAATAAAAAATATTAGAATTCTAAAACTCAATTTACTTCTTTAATAATGAAAAAATTTAACATTAAGTGTTTTCAACATTATACTTCAAACTCCTTCCTATAAAAATTTACACTGCAACGACTGCATTGCACATCACAACAATCACAATTACATATACATTTGCAACTATAATTTAAAACTAAGAATTTGAGTACAAGTACTTCAATTCATTACAAAAAGAATATTGAAAATATTTATAATAAAATATAAAGGGCAGGACTAAACTGCAGTCTAACATAAACTCAATTCAAAATACATACTTGTTATTGTTAGTAAGTTTTAATAAATTATATTTTAATAGTAAAATAATATATTAATAAAGAGGTGAAACTAATATCTGCCTTCGGGCTGGATTTGAAGGAGATGGAGGGGGGAGGGTACCTGCAAGACACTCCAATGGCAAAGTAAGAGACGGAATGAGCAAGCAAGTATGAATGTAGGTGTGAATGAATGAATACCTGACCCTCTCGAAAGAGAGGGTATTTATAGCCCCCAGCGTTGGGCCAAGGTCCCTTTAATGGGCTGATCAAACAGGCTCAACAAAGAGACTGCCAGGTTCTACGTGAGTAGTGGGGACCCGCACGTGGCCCCCTACCTGGATGACGCCCTCCGCAAGACAGGGAGGATAAAGACGCGATCTTTCTGGGACCATGAAGACTCCGCGAAATCTGGAGAGGTTGAAAATCAGCCCTACGAGGAGGGTGCTCGGAGGGAGCGCGTGCTCGTCGGGGACATTCTTCGCGAGCACCGGCGAGAAGCAATCATAGCCGACCAGATACCTATGGTCGGGGTGTGCTCAGTGCGTATACTGCTCAGCGCAGCAGGTTGGCAAGCTTGGATTGGGCCTCAATGGTGGTTGGGCCAAGGGCAGGCCCAGTCCAGAACAGGAGCCCCCTAAGTCGTTGCTCCTGGTACGGGAGTTATGACTTGATTCAAGTTCGCCCCTTCGCGAGACTCGCTTGCGCGACACAAATATTTTCAATCGTGGACGTGAGACGTCACTCGGTTCGTGATTTGCTTTGTGCAGAGGTCGAGGAGTGTTCGAGGAGCACTCGCGGGGAGGTGGTGATACACTAGTCAGACACATGTCGTGGCTCTTGGAAACCACAATGGCGGCCTAGGGAGTAGGGTCATCATTGTCTAA